AGCGTGTGCGTCAGTGCACAGTCTGAGCGTGAGTTATACACACAGATGGAGAATGGCCCAGCAGCTCAGCGCACACGGGCACACAGCTGCCCACGGACAGAATAGAGCTCTAATAGGGCCTTTCGCCTGCAACACAAAGACGCTGCAAATGTGTGCGTCTTAAGCACACACACTGGAGCGCAGAGTGATCCCCCTTTAAAAACCCACCCGCCTTGATAGCGTCCGTAAATTATGTCTATAGTACGTCCCAAACAAGTGGGAGCAGGCTAACAATGCCAAGGCTGTTGTCGAGTACGACTGCAGTGCAAGTGCATCAAGTTGTGTTTCACTAAAAACTATGAAACAAATGAAAGGGATTTTCAGCAACTGTTAATCACTTCCTCCTATAGAGTCAGATCTTGGGCTGGGTGTCAAACCTCTTTTAAAGGCCAAACATTTCCATAGCACAGAGTATTAAAGCACTATACACTATTCAATGATTGATGTGAATATTTTTCCTTTTTCTGTGAAGTAATCAGACATTTCCTGATTTAAATCCCTTTTATTCACAGCTCTTTATGATAGTATTAGACACTATGCATTAGGAAAGCTTAGCTCATTTTATTAAATAAAGAAGGTTAATGTTTGCAAAAGTAAAGTTTCAAAAACAATTTGTTTTGGTGCAGCTACAGAAACTTGGTACTGGTTTACAAGTTTAACCCAGTCCTTGTGATAAAATCAACACATACACTCAACAGCACATTGCATGATAGAATCTGATAGTTATACATGCCTGTTCACACCAAGCTGTGACATTCCAGCACTGGATGGAAATCAAAACAAGGTATATAGTCATCATCATAATCTTCCCCAAAACTGGGGAGGCAGATTGAACATGCTCAGAGCAGGTTTCCTCTGAGCCTAACCAGTATTTGTGAGTCCCCCCCTCATCAACATCTGCTTAGTAATTAGACACTAGAGCTGACATGTAGTGAAATATCTCTGCTTCCCCTCCAGACTTCAGCTACACTTTGCATTTGTGAGATGGGGTTTCTCAGCAGGATTTTCAGACGACTACTGACATTTCCTGTTTAGTTAACCAAACCAGCCTACCGCACCCCCCCCCCCCGTGAGCCAAGGGCGGCCACTGCTATGGTGGCAGCAAGAGACATTGGCAGGTATTTTCAATTAGGGTGCCCTGGTGCCAAACCAGTTCTCCGTGGTAGTGTGTTTATGGTGTCCACAAAGATCAACCGACTATCGTGCAATATTGGAAAGGGCAAAACATAAGCACCAACAGTTACGTCCTAACCATAACCCCAAAAGACTTGATAGAGGCCTCAGTGCTCTATGTTCAGTGTAATTGGCTTTCATTTTAAATCAGGTGGGCCATAAAGTAGTTGCGGAATGAGAATGAACCCTGCCCCTTTGATTAAGACACAGCCACTGATACACCCACACACAAATACATTTCTATATATAAAAAGAGAACTGACTTTTTTTCACTTGATAATAAAACATTTTTAGACTTTAAATGCGCAGACTCTTCTCTTTACGCCTGGATGTGATGAGTTCCCTTTAATGAAGCTATTCTCAGCTCGTATTAATGGGGGTAAGCTTAGTTTCATTATTGTGTCATAACATAGTGTATATTATTCTCTCTGGCGTTGTCATGACAGTGACCAATAACACTGCAGGTTACTTTGAGTGGACTCTTAGGAGTGCTGACTTATTTCACTGTATTGCTCAGGCAACAGAAATGAAATTAAGGAAGAATGAAAGTGGCTCATGTCTTTAACTTTTTCATGATAGAAAAAAATGCTCATAAACACATGTTTATTGCAAATTGCCCTCTAAAGAAGAAACAAAGCCATAAATCAGAGGTGGAGATTTGATCCACACAACCAAGCCTCAAAAGCACTGGCTATGACAATATGGCTGCATCAGTCGACATCAATAATTATCACAACAGATGTCACACTGTTCAGTATTTTATTTTTGCTGCTGGGTGAAGGTTGTGGTTTTTCTCTGTGAGGGTTGAATGACAAACACTTGCCACACTCTCAAACAATCATGTGTTATACCTCTTTGCACAATTGACGAGCATTACATCAACTTATATTGAACTTTTCTCATTGATTATTATTGATAAAGCTTCATTGCAAGAGTCTTTTAATCTCCTCTCATTGACTGTGGTGTGGAGCTGTGTCCCCTCTGCCTCCTCCACCTACAGGTAGTGTGGAGTGAGCTTTTATTAGCACGGCTGATAGATGGAGGGGAGTTTTGCTGGCCCACACTGAGGCTTGTGTGCACCCCCCCCATCACCCACCCCTCTAAAAGCAGGTTATTGTGCACCAAGTTCTACTGCAGCAAGTGGTTGTCCAGACTGTCCACCACTTTTCACTTCTCACACTCAGACATTTAAACTTCACATGAACAGCTGATCGCGTCCAAAGTAAGGTTGCAAACCACAAATCTGCAGAATATATTTAACAGTTCCCTCTGCAAAAAGTGTGCAACATGAAGCTGAGTCTAATCTGGAGTAAAGGAGGCACAGATTGACATGTACAATGCGATCACTGGAGTGATGGGAGGACGGGGGGGGGGCACGAGCAGACAAAGTAAACTCCACATGAGTTCAGGAGGAAGAAGAAAGATGAACTCAGCTCTGAAGTAGTATCTGAGCTATTACCTGGCCAGCAGAGGCTCCCTCGAAGTTATGTCATCTTCAACACGGAGGAAGCAGCTGAGGTCACTTGTTTAAGAAATTTTAAAAAAGTAAAGAGGTCTGGGAGGTTTGTGTCAGTGGCTCCAGCTCCGGTCTGTGAGCAGCTGAGAGCAGCTGAGAGCTCACTGACTTTCTGCTCCTGCATCGATTGTAACCATATCCGCGTCCGGACTAACCACGTCAGCCGGGGCCGAGGGTTCCGCACAGGGAGGAAACTGACCCAGAGACAGATTTACTCACCAACTACAACACCATTTTAAAAACTACTTGAACCTCACTGATTAAGCTATCGATTTAAAACAACACACAAACGCTCGGTGTGTGATTTACACCCAGCATGAAGTTTTGTGTTCCGACGTTAACACCCCTTCTGAGTTGGTATGTTCCGCCGTGGTCCTCCCTCCAGGCGTTTACGATGCTCGTGCTCCTTTTTAATTTATTATTTTAAATTCTATTATTATGCTTTTCGTTGATGTCAATGGTGCAAATAGCTACAGAGACTGTGGTGAAGTTATTTTTATAAAGTTGAATATCCCACATTCATCCTCATTAAATTCGAGTTTGATTAAAATATAACTTAGTTTTTAATAGTTTCCACATCACGTGACCCACTGACTCCAAATCATATCATATATTATTGCCACCCTAGACAAATAGGACATATCCCTTATATTTGATTTTAGTGTGTTCTCTATTGTTCATGAAAATAAAAAAGTCATTTCTTCCTCAATAGCTTTGATGTCACGTGACTCCAAATCAAATCAGATGTTATTATTGCACTGGATAAACAGGGCACACCTCTCTTTACCAGACTGCAGTGCTTCTGGTATTTATATGAATATTCATATTTTCCCCAAAACTTCTGACTCCAAATCATATAAGCTATTAAGATCCTAGGTAAATAAGACATGCCATTTTTTTTTGTGTATTCTATCATCTATTTTGTGAGTATATTCAGTGGGTAAATTATATTTCTCAGCTTCCATGTCATGTGACCAACTGACTCCAAGCTAATCTGAATTATACTATTGCCCTAGACAAACAGGACTTAGCTATTTTGTAGTAGATTTTAGTATTTCTATTCTATATGAATCTAAATCTTCTTTTATTTTTTCAATAGTTTCCATTTCATGTGACCCACTGACTCCAAATCATTGCTGAATTGTATTATGACCGTACATAATAAGGACATACCTCAAGTCATTGTACTTCAGTGCCTCTTTTTTATTCAATTGCTCTCATGTCAGAGGAAAAGCTGGATTTAAACTAGCAAGTTGCCACAACTCAATATACTTTCTTCACTTCCTTCTCTGTTTACTTTAATCAGTAACCCAGTTTAGAAAAGTACAGTTCAAAGTCTTAATGGTCAAATTTATTGTTGTATATGTAGAAATGTTACTGAAAAGATAGGAAATGCTTGAAAAGAGTAACAGTCTTTCCCAAACCCACATTGGCTCTGCTGCCATGGAAAACTCCACTGCTACACGGTGGAGTAATCCAACCAATCCACCGAAATCCTATTAGGAGACCTTCAAACAAGTTTCCAGGGAGATGGAGTGAAAGAAAAACACATAAATATTTGCAGTATCACACTTGAGAGGTTCAAATGAAAGTGAGGTAGTCATGCTGGTAGGGCAGCCAGTGGGCTATGGCATCGAGTCTAAAACCATAGGTTAAAATTATGAGTGAATAAAAGAGCAGCTTCAAAGACATGTGCCAAGCCCTGAAAGCCAAAGTGCTGACATAGTAAATGTTCTGTACAAGCTCAGTTCAACTCAGGAAGATCCAGAGTAAAAGTTTTATTTTTCTTTGCGGTGGACGGTAATAAAACTCTTAAAGATGACATTAAGAAGTGGATCCAACCTCCCTCTTTGTTGAAGGGAAGCCAGTTTGACTTCCTGAATGAGTCTACAGATCCTGTAAATCCACATATTCACATTAACAGACATGCACGTAACACAGTGTCACAACACAGTGTCACTAAAACATTACTCAGATTTTGCACATCAACACCCTCCGGGCTCCATGATTACTTTGTAAGCTCTTCATAAATAGCATGTATTCGGCAAGTTCTTTGAAATAGAATAATTTGTTTTAAATATTGCAGGATCCATTATTAGGAAATAAACAAATAAACTGTGGTGTACTCCTTCTCTTAACAACAGCACCTGTGTAAGTGAATAAATGGACCAAAGTATATTCAACTTTAATACATATTAACAACTCATGCCACTCAAAAAGCCTGATGTTTGAAAGACAGTGAGAGTCAAAGTTAACACACGCAAAGACAAGGTTTGTTGAAATGTTTTATTGAGCTGGAGCTCAACAGAGGAGATTTCACTTCATGGGAAAATTTGTGTGAGAGCTGTAAACTCGGGCATATTATGCACATCCAGGCAGGATATCCAGCGCCTTGTAAAATTCCAGGCAGTAATTCTTGTAAAGCTTGCATGTGTTTACTCAACATCGATGGCTCCCATTGGGCCACCATCCCAGCCTGCAATTAGGATCCAGAGCTTGGCAGTTATTAATGATGCCATTGAGAGAGGAAATGGCAGACAAGCTCCTCTGCTCACAGATGCCATGGCCTCTTGTTTATTCATTATGTCAGAAGTTCTTAATCATGGTCCCTGAGACCCCAAGCTCTGCTGGGTTCCAGTTTAGCCAATTAGGTAGGAGGCTATTTTTCATATGACATGAAAGATGGATGCAATTAGGTACCTGGTTAGACAGAACAGTGGTTGTCAAATCAGTGGGTCAGGACACCCAACAGGATCATGTAAAGTCATTTAAGGGGTTTCACAATGATTTATTAAAATAGGGAAACATGTACTTTCTTTTAGCCCCCTCCCCTACTTATAGCCTCTAGGTCAGTGATAATCACTCAAATCAAACAAACAAAGCCAGGATAACCGTCTGGGTGACTTGTTACCACAAATATCCTCAGGAAAGCTGTGTCAAAGTCAAACAAGTGTCAGTGGGTGCACAGGGACTAAGAGTCCACATATGAAAGGCTCCTAATGCCACAGACATGGGAACCTGGACGACATCAAAGGACTCAGAGAACTTCTGTTAATGAGACGTAAAAGGTTTCATGTGGAAGCATTTCTTGTTACACAAAATCAGTTTATCTCAGTATCAGCTCTTTGTGTTCAACTTTTGAAAACTGGTTTACATCATGTTTTTTTAGAACACCTTCAATGTGAGTTAAAAAGTCTTCGGTGACTATTACTTGTGTGTTTATGAGAAACTGCTCGTTACATTTCACAACCACCAGCAGTTTTTTTTGTATTGTATACAAACATTCTTGAAACTGAAATAAGATTTAACAACTCATCTTGATAATTGCCTAAACATCCCAGATGGTTTTAGGGACTGTGGATCGGTATAAGATTAATAGATCAGAACCCAAACTGTCCAACTTAATCGCAAAACACATCTGCTTCATTACTCCATGTTTTTAGAATCCAATGTTATCAAATCTTGTTTAAAAATAGATATAACATTATCAATTCCTGCGATAAATAGAAAATAAAAACCACTGAGAAAATATCCAAAAAAGGAAAAAAATACTCTCTGGAGAATTGTTAATCAATGTACTCGCTTGAAGATGAGTGCTGACACACTGTTTCCCTTTTTGCCTCCAAAGTGGAAACTGGGTGTTGGCAACTCCTGTAGAAACTCAAATCCTGGGAGGCAACACAGAGAAAAAAAAAGGTGCAGGTTAAGACATGTGCATTATGCAAATTACCGGAACATCAACATGCTTCTCTTAAACACAGATTCCTACAATCTCATCATGCAGACTTTTAACTACAAAGTGTTAAAGAGCAGAACTGTTTCTTGGGGACAGGCTGTCAGTGTGACAGATGAGACCTTGCAGCCCTTTGGCCCCCTGCAGGCTCTCTGGAGCGACTACACCGAGATGACTGACCACAAATGGAAGCTAGACCGAGATTCTGACTTTACAAGGGTGTTGTTGCCTGCAGCTAAACAACCTGCCAGGTACCTGTCATGGTTGTGGAGCCGTGTGCATGCGTCAAATGAGGGTTAGACAACAAAAACACCCAGAGTTGCAAAGGTCAAACACAAACAATATATCACATTGACGCACACCTAAAGGATTGACAAGTGTCTTCACCTAATTATAACATTGAAAACATGCACTTGATTTTAAAGTATGCCGTTCAGGTTATGTGTATAATTAAATCAGAACCCAATATGCATTAAAAATATAACAATTTACAGGACCAAATAAATATGTCTAAAACTAAGTACTTTGTGGTTGTTTGGGACAGCTTGGAGAACACTCAGCATTTCTCTCACTCCGCAATTTTTAATAACACCAATCAAGATAAATGATCAGATTAATGCTCTTAATGTCAGAGTTTCCCTTCACCTTCAGTGAATCTGTGTAACAGCTGCTCTTTGGTCCAATTACAGGAAGTGATGGAAAAGAATCCTTGGTCCTTCAGAGCATCTTTTAAAGCCTGGACGTAGAGTTGTTTCCCCTCCTCTGTGTTGTGTGGGTTTAGACTTATCGCATCAAATGTTCCCTTGTCGATGCAGACGTCAAAGTCCTTCAGCTGGCCTTGATGGTTTAAGAAATCCATCTCCTAAAATAAAAGATAGAAGTTACGGAAAAGTTAACAATGAGTACAAATACAGTGACTAAAGTTTAGTTTGACTCTTTATCCGAAGGGTGAACTATGGCGTTACCTGGACAAAAAAAAAAATCTTTCAACATTAACCAAGATTAAATTTGTTATACCTCACTGCTTTCCTTTAAAACTAAATTCCAGCTGTCGACATGACAGCAGTTAATTCTGAGAAAGTTTGCTGCTATATTGCCAGTGAAAGGAGCTCTTTATCTGGACAGAGGGCAGAGCACCAGATCTCTGGGGTGAGCTCGAGAGCCACATAGTCACAAATCATGGTTCACAAAATTTACGGGGGGGGATTAACAGTTATTCAGGGGAGACAGATATGTTGATATATTGATGCAGCTGACCCGAGTTCAATCTGAGTTTGACCCTAAAAACAGAAAAACTAGGAAGTGGAAGGAACGTATAAAGGGAAAGTGTCAAAGCTGGAGTAGAGCGTGATGAATGGAAACAGAGACGGGGCTTGGCATAGGTTTAAGAGTGGGAATGACCTCTGAGGTAAAGACCTGATGAGAAAGCTTTTTTATAATGTGGCTGCATGTGCACACAAACACATGCACACAATTATTTTGAAACTCTGCAGTTGTGGAAAAAGATGGCAACATAAAATTTATTTCACACACACACACACACACA